ACCTTTATTTCTTCATATTTATATGCCGTGTCCCTTCAGGCCGTAGGCGACCATGTCTCTCCACACCTTCCTGTCGCTTGTGGTTCTTAATAATTTTTATCTTTTTGTTATTTCTCCTAAATATTATTCTAGCATCCATTTACTCAAGACCATCAAATATATTACGCACTGTTTTCCTCTGTCCATCTTGCCCTTGAGCTATCCCGCGTGGATCAGATTTTCCAAACCCTGATTCCTTATTACGTGGCTCAGAAATTTCAACTGCCTCTTCCTGGTGTTAAGTGTAAGTTTCCTTTTGGTTTAGATTTTTTCTAAAACGTCGTCGTTGCTCACATCTTCTATCCATGTTATCCTCAGTATCTTTATGTAGAACAATAATTTTATCTTCAATTTTCTTCTTAGTTTTTGAGGAAATTGTTCAGCATTCACTGCCCTATAGGAGGGTAGATATCACGTAAGATTTAGGTACTCATTTCTTTTCTTTTTTTCTATCGAAAGTTTTCTGTCTTTTAATACTCTGTTTAGCTTTTGGAGTGCATAATTGGCCATCCCAGTAATTACTGCATACGCAATCCCACATATACATATTTACGAAGTTTGACCAATACGACGCCAGGCTGATCTTTTTCGCTGTATTTTGTTAGGAAATTTTAGCACGAAATTTTCTTCAAGATCATTTCACCCCAAGCAAAGCACATATGACCCAAGTGGACAGAAGATTGCTGGGAATGAAAGTGAGAGAAAAACTGAGCGTAAGGTTCTTTGAAGAAACGGCAAAACATGAACGGGCTTTAAGAAGACAGATTTTGGCCATTGATATTGCATTTAAAATTTTAGGAGATTTTAATTATCAGAGAAGCAAGTAAACAGAATATTCCACATGCGGAATTTGCGAGTAAATGAATTGTTGCCGTAGAAGAGGCGGTTATATTTAACTATATCAACACTAAATTTAGATCCCACCCATTTAGTGTTGAAATAGTTAAATATAACCGCCTCTTCTACGCCAACCAGAAATATCCAGAAATTTAGAAACGGCATGCTGTATTGCTTGTAATCCAGGCCCGAATCTCCAATACGAACATTTCAATGTTTGGGTGTCAATATGTGGACAGTGCAGAGGGAAAATATGTACCGAGATTTATGAAAACCAAATAGACAGTCAACATCATGGTTTTTGGAGGGTCACTAGTTATGGCATCCGTTTCTCCATCCATCATTCCACAGGGCCTCAGATTTAACACGGAGGAGTTAGTGTTGCATTGGGTCAAGAGGGTGGCGGCTGGAAGAACTCATGTCTGGCACCATGCCACACATGTAGGAGAACCCAGTCAAGACTGTCAGACTATTTCTGCGACCATAACACCCTTTATATATATCCGTCTAACTCCCCAGACTGCAACAGATTTAATTATTATGTGCGGCACGCAGGTGAGCGATAAACCCACAAAACTCCTTGCAATACTAAAGATGAACTGCGGGAAAAAAATGTGGCAACACTCGCCGATTTTCTGGAGATTCCGAAGTCGTCTGGAGGTTGTGGTTGTAGCTAATGGCGATTTTATTGAATAAATTTATTCTTTAGATTTTCAAGATAGTTTTGTGCGATTTTGGTAAATATATCTTTTAAAATGAAATGCCGATTTTGTATTCAATTTTGTCTAAATTAGACGACACTTTATCCAACGCACCCTGTCTGTTTGTAAGACGGGGATGGGAAGATATAAAATCGCAGCTATCGTTTATAATTCTGCACCGATAGGGAACGCTGAAGATATTGCAACTCCTGCCATTTTATTCAATTTTTAGATGCATCCGGCTATGTAGACATGCTGATTTCATCAATTAAACTTATGTTTCTTTCATAACTTTATTATTAATTATTCTACATTGTGATTAAAGTAGAAAGATGAACATTTATAAGGAGCTGGATGAAAAATTAACTTAGATGATCTAGCGATAAAAGCAGCTTCTATACACTTACATCTTAGTAAGTTAATTTCTCTTTTCAATTAAAGCAGCATTATTTAAAATTGTGGTCAAATTCGTTGCAGTGCAACAAAAATAGATTGCGTGTGTTGATATGTAAAATTTCTATTTAGAATTAATGCAAATTTTTTCTGAAATACCTAGATGTTGTGAAAATCATTATTGGTGATAGAATAAAATCCTACTTTATTTATTATTATTTTGTTTTGTATTAATTAAGTTTCTCATTGTTTCAGAAGAAGTAGTAAGTAATGTTAAGCTTACAATAATTCTTTTCAATTAAACCTAACTGATAATGATATAGAATTATGTGTCTATCGCAAATCAACTAATAAAAAGAGGTCATAAATTACTATTTTCATCGTAACACCATAATGAAATTCGGATTAATTATCGCATTTTATTTGAGAGCACTCAGAATTTATAACCCTCGATATTTCCATTATAAGGAGAAATACAGGGGAATAAACCTTTAAGCTCCACCAATAACATAATTATTTCATAATCAATAGAAAGCAGATGCTCTTCAAATATTTCAAAATAAAATTGAACCGAACCAAAAAGTTAAACGAATCAAGATATATTACGTTACTTAACAAACTTTATCACAATTATGATTAGAAATAATTTACCTAAGATTGTCATAATTTTTGTTACAACTACTTCCGCACCAATAGAATAATAAATACAAAAGATAAGCTAAATTTGAAGAGGGGATTTTCTCTGTTATTTGTATGACTGCCACAAGGAGTACATGGGTGAAACGTCTAAGAATTAAAACAAAATATTATATGTAAACAACAGTTATCTGTTACATAAAACATCGCCCACATTAAGGGGTCTGACCATATTTTTCCTTATAAAAATGCTGCTTTAATCGAAAGAGAACGCGAATAATTTCGGCAAAAGTGTATAGAAAAAATGCTTTGATCGTGCTATACTCCAGTTTCTGATAGTATTTAATCTTTCTCGGAAGATTGTCTGTTATCACTATTAAGGAGGCTTAATAACAAATGTGGTAAAACAGAAAAATAACAAAATCATAAGGAAAGTGAATTAAATCGACAAGACTGGATAAGCAGAGAGATATAAAAGTAATTAATAAACACATTTAAATTTAAATGGTTAAAATTTCAGCGTCCCAACATTTTCAGTGTTTCCCATTGATGGATAATTATAACTGAGGAGTACATTTTTTTAGATCTCCCCTACCTACACATATGCAATTCCGTCAAGGAAAAAATAACTTAGTCTGATGAAGGCCTTATAGAAGGCGAAACGCCTTAACACAGAATGTTTTCCACATTGTCATTCATTGGACTAACATGTGTATATACGTGTGTTTTTATGGAGGTACCCACATATCTATCACTCTATTTTCATATATTGGAAAACAATGTATAAATGATGTTTTATATCAAGTAATATTATAGAGGTATCTATGAGAAAATGCGATTCTAACACAGATAAAATTAAAAATAATTTATCTAAGCTTAACAAATTGGCTTAGATCTACATTGAAAACAATAACATACTTTAATATAGAACAAATTAATAACTGAAAGATTGAAGAAGGTATTTATTCACTTACCTGGAATAATTGCTATAAGGAATATATGTTCAATCCTCAAAGAATGTAAATAAAAGATTATATGAATACTAATACATCTCAAAACATTAGTAGCTCACTGTAATGAGACTGACATTAAATTTGATTTTAAAAATGCTACATGAAAATACATCATCATCATCATCATCATCATCATCATCATCATCAACATCATCCCCTTGACATTGTAATCCCTGGGCGGATCCGGATGCAGAAGCCACAGTAACTCTTTTTCAAATCGGTCTATTTACGACAGCCATCAGCAAATCTGGTACAATCATACCTTCCCATTTTTTGACATTCTCCAACTAGATTTTGCGTTACCATCCTCTCCTGCATCCAACTTCAACGATTCCTTTTATGATAAGCTTGCTTGCACAGGCTGTGGTACCTTGTAATGTGTCCAAACCAAGCCATTTTTCTCCGTTTGAAAGTCGCGAGATGTTCCTGTTGTACCATAAACCTTTCAACACATTTCCGCATGAAATCATTGTTTTTGGTTTTTTTTTCCCAGTAGAACATATCAAGGAGTTTTCTCATGCGTTTGTTCTCAAACCCTTGGGTCCTTTTCTGTACCTGCCAACAGTGTCCACGTTTCACAATCATATAGGAAAATTGGGACTGTCATCGATTTGTACAATCTCTACTTTGTTTGAATGCTGATTTTGGTCATCCATATACTTGCCAATTTGGCCATCACTGCCTTGGCTAATATATATAGAATTTGCTAAAATATATATATATATATATATATATATATATATATATATATATATATATATATATATATATTTCAAGTATAGGTGCAGTTCAATTTATAATTACATGAATCATTCATACAAAAAACAAATATAGAAGTTAATGATTTAAATGGCGAGAATACATCTTCGCAAAAATTTTTAATAAAGTACACTAACTCCGAACCTGTATATGAATGATATGATCCCTGTTTATAAATTCCAGTTGCATAAGGTTTTTTTAGTTTTTATAAGCTTTCGTCTGTTCCTACAGATATCCTCAGGTATGGAAATAGATTTGTTCTTGTTTTTTTACTTCTCAGTAATAACAGGACAACGAAAATATGGATGTAATCCGAAAAAAATGCTTTTAGAAATTTGAAAATAAATAGAAAGTAGCGAGATGAGAATATATAGAAAGTGCTTTAAACGCTAGATGATCTACATTAAATTTACGTGCAGGTTCTTAAAACATTTTCAGTTTTATACCCGTTATGCAGTTCTGTTCTTGCTTTAAATGGCGATATTGGTTACACTCATAGACTGCACATCTACTTTCCATGTTCCGGATTCCGCCAAGAAATTTTAATATAATAAAGGCAAAACGATTTACAAGTGCCAGTGTTCCTCGCTTTCCGGTATATAAAAACATGTGTGGCTTTCGTATGTTTCCAGCTAAGTTTCAGTATAAGAAGTCAATCACTAACACGTGCATGTCTGTGAGGCACAAATTCGTCATTATGGCAACAAATCTAATACAGTACATTTCGTGTAGAAGTTTTACTAAGCCGAGAGCACCGCTTGCAAATCTAATGATATAGAAAATTACTTTATGAAGAGAAAAAGATCGTAAATGTTTGAAGTATTTGCGATGGAGCCACAAGGAAAATGAGTTAAAATAAATATATCATCAACGAGAAATATATATATATATATATATATATATATATATATATATATATATATATATATATATATATATATATATATGAAAAAAGAAAAATTGGTATTATATTTTATAATTTTACAATCTGCGGCCAGATTCTTAAACGGTACCATAATCCGGCATATTTATTCTACGCACCTCGACTTTGTCGCTGAAAGAAACAGCATACGACGATGAAAAAAAAAACATAATATAAACTAAGTTTTATCGTCAAAATTTTTATGTTATTACTACAATGAAAGACCACATTATTTTTTTTTATTATTTTATTAATTTTTTTAATCATTTGTAGCACATTCGAAATTTTGCTTAAATATCTTTTGTTTTTGCTCCAACGGCCGACGTAATATTTATAATTGGTGTTTTAGTGCATTTTTTCAGGTATAAAAACATTGATTTGTAAGTTCGTACAAATATCATATAATTGCCGAATTTTAATGAAACATTCATGACTTTTTCATAAATGATGTTTTTTTTTGTGACGGAAAAAATATTCTGTTCTCTAGACTGTTCTAGTTCCACGTGCCATGTTTGATGGATGCCAGTTATCAGTTATCTCCTGTTAATTTCCCTCTGAAAGTTCTCCACTGCCTTAACCGGGTATTGAACTCACACTCTTTGGTTTCTGTCACTGGATCTAAGCAACGCCTTTTCTTCACTGTGCCATGTGTCCTTGAGGTCGACCCCAGTGAGCGAAATAAAGGGTTCAGTTCGACATTCCAACCACCTGAAGAAGGCCGGAGCGTACAACGGCCGAGACGTTGTGATAAATATGGCGAAAAAGATGAGAACAATAGTCCGAATAATGTAAATAATGTAATAAATCAAAGTTAAAAAGAATTAACTCGTTAGAAGAAAATGTAACATTTCTCCCAAGTATCCAATTACGTTAACTTTGATTTCTGGGATATAAAGACAGACATGAAACTGAATAATACAATTTAAGCCTGTTCGCGATATAAAGACAACCAACAGCGAACAAATGAGGTGGATTGTGCATAAGGGCTTTCTTTTTTGTTTAAAATCCATCACATTATGTCATGAGTTCTTTTACTGTAATTTTTTTCAAAGAGAAAGTGAATATGGTCCGTGTCTTGAAGCGCAAAGAATTATATTCGATAAAATATGGATCGCAGCTTTGTTCAAACTTCTGGAGCTGTAGGCAGGAATACAATGGACTGTACATCTATATTAAAAATGTTATTCTTTCCCTGATATAAAATATATATTGAGGATCATATTTTGATAAAAAAGCATGATTCTTTTTCTTACAGGCAAATAGATTTTGCACATTCGAAGATCAGGTAAAGAAAATATAAAAAATGGAGCACATAAAATTTTGTAAAATTATGTCTACATTTGAAAACTGCAAGAAAGAGAAGATATGATTGCTTTTGAAAACTGATTTGAATATTATAATTTTAAAAGTGTCTTATGGAACAATTTTTTTTTTCAAGCTTTTCGTCCCTTAGGACTTCTTAGGTGATCCGAAAACACATACACATGAACAAGAGACTCTGGGAATTTAAAATTTTATGAATGTTTTTAATTTTTTTTAATGGTGAAGATGTAAGGGACGAAAGGCGTTACACGATAAAGGTTTGATGGATAAAAATTGATATATCGTTATCTCATATATATCCAAGTATAGGATTGATGTATACGGAATTAATTCCAATAACAACCAAATACTATTCAGTCCCATATATATATATATAAAATCGATTCTTCCGCCGGGTTCGACGTATGAGGGTCAAGCAGGTCTCCAGGAAACAGACATCCCGACAGCGGCACATGAGATTCGATTTTAGTGGTGAAGGCTTCGTGCAGGACCATCCACACTTTTTGAAGGGCCGGATATAGAGACCTGGTGCACTGCGTGCCACAAGGTCCCCAAACAACCCCCCTCATGTTTTGAATTCAGAGTTGCCCTTCTCCTAGACCAGTTGCCATCCAAGGATATAGAACCCAGTCTGTCCAGCTATTTAACCCATAGCTGGAGGGAGGATAGGATTCATATTTTTCCCAAGGGTATTAGCACGTAAGTGAATGTAGTGGATTCAACCCGGATTCGAACTCGGCTCTGTGATTCCACAATCCAAGCCGATATCAATTACCCCACCCTAATATATATATATGTTTCTTTGTGTGTGTGTGTGTGTGAGAGAGAGAGAGAGTGTGTGTGTGTGTGAATGTGCGTATATGTTGGTAGTTGCGAGTGTGTGCTCTATCTCTCAATACGTTTATCTCTGTATTTACATTAGTCGGACTATTGTCCTCATCTTTGTCGCCATATTTGTCACAACGTTTCGGCCGTCTTCAGGTGGTTGGAATTTCGAACTGAACCCTTTATTTCGATCGCTGGGGTAGACTGTTCTAGTTCCACGTGCCATGTTTTGATGGATGTCAGTTATCAGTTATCTCCTGCTAATTTTCCCTCTGAAAGTTCCCCACTGCCTTAACCAGGAATTGAACTCACCTTCTTTGGGTCTGTCACTGGATCTAACCAACGCCTTTATCCACTGTGCCATGTGTCCTTGAAATATAGACAAACGTTTATCTCTATATAGTTTCATTTTTATTTATTTTAGTCACGTCGTATATTTCTAGTTCTATATTTACATTATCTATCTATCTATCTATCTATCTATCTATCTATCTATCTATCTATCTCAGTCTGTTCATATCTATCTATCTATCTATCTATCTCAGTCTGTTCATATCTATCTATCTATATATCTATCTATCTATCTATCTCAGTCTGTTCATATCTATCTATCTATCTATCTATCTCAGTCTGTTCATATCTATCTATCTATCTATCTATCTATCTATCTCAGTCTGTTCATATCTATCTATCTATCTATCTATCTCAGTCTGTTCATATCTATCTATCTATCTCAGTCTGTTCATATCTATCTATCTATCTATCTATCTATCTATCTATCTATCTATCTATCTATCTATGCCTTCCCATGATCTAACTATCTATTTGTCTTCTTTCGACGTGAGTCACAGCTTCTGTGCTTTCTTTTTTCTCTCCTTGATTTTCATTCATACTTTACTGCCTTTCTCTGCATTCCCGAACATTCGTTCATCTTTCAGTCTTTTTCGTTATTCTCTCAACATCTAACGACTTCTCTCCACACTCAGGTTAACGTCTATCCTCTAATTCTCTCTTGTGTATTTTCTAAATTTTCCTGTTCATTCGGTTTGAACGCATTTCTGTTCGAGTTGATTATATTTGTGGATTTATTTAGTACACACATGTATGAAGAGACAGCCAATATATCTTGGAGCAAAATCTTCTCGAAATGATGGGCATAAAGGGCAAATTGTCATTCCCGCTCCTATAATTCTTATCTATTGCTCAACTATTGATTATATAAAAACACATTTTCCAAAGTTGTTTTCCTTTGAAATGAATATATACATATTTTCGTGAATTTTTTTTTTTTAATCTCTATATTTTCTACAGTTACACCTTCGAACTGCAATAAACGCCTTGTTATAATATTTATTAAAAATAATAATATCATTTGAACTTCATACGTTTGCAATTCTTTTCTGAATTAGCATGCACGTATTTACAAAGTTCGGAAAAGCAGCACGGACGGATCACCCTTTAGTAATAATTCCGATAAACCCAGGAATATCAGAAATACGTTCCACAATTTTATGTTAATATTTAGGAGAAATGACTATATTGTTTAAGCTTTAAGTTTCTTCTGATGAATTAAGTGAATTTGGCAAAATTACAAATCACAAATTCATAAAATTCTTTTCTCTATTCTTTCTCAAATGGCTTCGTAATATATTGTTCCAAAACCTCAATATGCAATGTTTATAGTAGGGATATCCACTAAATTTTAGATACCTAAACTTTAAAATGAACTTTTAAACATGAAAGCTTTACCTTTGATTGAAAGCTAAATGATTAAATTTACTATTTACAGTAATCAAAATAATCTCATGTATTTCAAATGGGAATTTATATTGACTGGAATCTCAACTTTTTGCTCGTTTAAGCAAAATCGATGAAATCGATAAATATCGGCTATTTTGTGAAATTGTGACACTTCTATAAACACAAGTTAATTCTCAGTTTTAAAAAACTTAAAATATTATATGTATTTGTAAGACGTTATGTAAGAAAATTTTACAAATTTAAAGTTAAATTAATCAAATATGACTTATAGCATACAACATAGTTTACAAATATTTATTATCGACGGGGTTTTGGGTTTTGGACGTATTGATTGATTCATTGACAGTCTGACGTAATGAAAAACTATGTATGTTTGACCAATAAATTTATGAAATCTAAGTGAACGCTCTGTTTTGATTTTAACTATCGAGTAATTTTTAATAATTAACGTATTTTCAGCAATTATTTAATATTTTATTTAATCTCTATTACTTTAGATCTATAGCCTTACGTTTTTATCAAAATAATTCTCACAAAAAAGAGTAAACTTAAAAAAATCATAGAAAGTAAAAAGCAACTAAACAAAAAATGTTATTTTTTTATGAAATAGGAGTTAAAGAAAAAAAAAATTGAAAGGAAATTTCAAAATGATACGCAAATTGAAAAATAAAAAATCCAAATAGAAATTAAATAAGAAAACTTTTAAATCAACAAATTTAAATAAGAATTCTTTTTAGTAGAGTTTATTGGGCTTCGTCTTTAGGTTCTTAAGTAAATGAAACTAAAAATAGAATTACTTAATTGAAGTTTGACTCATATGATCTATAATAAAGTCATAAAACAAAAATATTTAGTGAAATAGCATTTTAAACAAGTAACAATTTAATTAAACTTTAAAAATTAACATTAAAGGGATGATTTGCACAGCCTGGTGAGATGTAAACACGAGGAAACACAGAAACGAATAATGAAAGAACTGCCGCCAGCCAACTTTTTCAGAGGACAATTCTTAGATCATGTGACGGACATCCATAATTACGAAAATGGGCATGTTTTACAATGAAACATATACAAATAGTTTTAAAAATCTTGGTGTAAGATGACTTTTATTAATCTTTCAGTTTTTGATTCGCAAATATAGTTTTAACTTAACAGCAATATCACCTAACAGGATAAAAGTAATGCAGAATTTTAAACGATTTATATATATTATAAAATAATATAATTACAATTAAAAAAATGGAAACAATTGTTGTAAAAATCGTTATTCATCGAATATTTTTCTTTAATAAATGGTGTCTTTAATAAATCTTATTTATACAATCAATTAAAAGCATTTCTAATTAAATAATGTCATTTTTCGGCTCGGAGGATATTTTATTGAAATTAGTAATATTTAGCAAAAAAAAAAAAAAAAAAAATGAATGATTTACAATCTCCAAGGACTTCTGCTTTTAACTAATAAAAAAATTGAGATTGAATTTTAATTTTTCTAAATTTCATGAAATTAAGTATGTGGGTGTATATTTTACCGAGATTTTCTAAATGAAAATTTCAAAAATAATTTCATTCAATTATGAAAAGTCATGAACGTTTCATTAAAATTAGGCAATTATATCATATTTGCACGAACTCACAAATCAATGTTTTTATACCTGAAAAATGCACTAAAACACTAATCGTAAATATTAAGTCGACCGCTGAAGCAAAAAAACATATTTAAGCAAAATTTTGAATGTGCTAGAAATTATAAAAGAATAATAAAATATTAAAAAAAATAATGTGGTCTTTCAGTGTAGTAATAACAAACATTCTGACGATAAAACTTAGTTTTATTATGTTTGGGTCTATTTTTCATCATCGTATGCTGTTTCTTTCAGCGACAAAATCTAGAAAAAATAAACCTGATTATGGTACCGATTAAGAATTTTGAAATTACTAAAATATAATACCAAGGTTTTCTTTTCTTTCATGTGTTTGTGTGTGTCTATTTGTGTGTGTGTGGATTTCGGTAGCAAGAATTCCCTGAATCTTTTTTGTGAAATATGTTCACTTTTTTTTTAAATAAATATTTAAAATTTCCGAATAAGATATTTAGTCCTATCGGTAAATTTGCTAAAATTCATATTAACTTTTAATTTATATAATTTTCTCGCAGCACTTTCGTTTTTATGTATTATTATGTGTTTAGTTACGCAACTGTTTCTTTTTTTATTCCGGCGGCCTAACTTTTGATGGAACCAATTTGAAGCCACTGAAGGTGACGTCATATAAACGCCATTTTTTTTTTTATATATATATGTGTGTGTTTGAACAAATTCCAATATGCGATGAGTTATGAAGGGACAAATACATCTTGTTTAATGTTATCTGCTTCACTTTCATTATGACAGCGAACAGAATTTGGACTACTTCATTTGACCTGCATCCTATATATATATATATATATATATATATATATATATATATATATATATATTAAATAAAAACAAACCACTTTAAGGTTCCATGTAATAAATTATTTCACCACAGCCCTTTTAAAGAAACTACGGATCATCATACTTTACTTCCAAACAAAAAATAAAAAGAAAATTTACACATTTTTGACGGGCTGTATTAATTTACATATTTTTAATACGGCACGTCAAAAATGTGTAAATTTTCTTTTCATTTTTTGTTTGGAAGTAAAGTCTGATGATGATGTCTGGATTTACATTGAGCTCTGTGGATTTTATCCTCCTTAGATTTACCCATACGTATTACCTAGTTTTTAATAAACTATATATATATATATATATATATATATATATATATATTAAGAAATGGGCAAAGTCCGACAATTTATTTATTTAAGACATTTTTATGTTTAACGTTAAACATAAAAATGTCTTTAATAAATAAATTGTCGGACTTTCTCCATTTCTTAATATATGACGTCATTTGTTTACATTTGATACGCCAGAGCAGTTATGAATGTACGAGATTCATGGAAGATTGAAGTTTATAAGCAGTAAATTCGACCTTGTCTACCGAACGCTCCTTTGTGGCCGGTCGGTAAGGCACGCCAGCGTAAATGACGGTTCCGTATAGGATGCAGGTTCGAATCCTGTCAAAGGACGAATATTTTCTATGAAAATTTCTCGGACATTCAGGCCGGTAAATGTTATTTAATACTGTTTATTATAAACAGGGCATTTACTTAAATACTTGTACCTATAAAAAAAAGTAAAAGAAAAGAACGTTAAACATAAAAATGTCTTTAATATATATATATATTGAGCATAAAAATAGAATTATAATTTCAGACACACTGCATTGTAAATTAAGATTTTTGTTTTATTATTTAAATTAGGTTCCTCGACTATTTTCAGACAGAATGGCCATCTGTGGGAGAAAACAAATTCCTGGTTGCTAGTAGAATTGAACTACCGGGGTGAATGACTGTCTCTGAATAACGTGTATTTTTCATTTGTTTTATTTTATCGTTAATATTTGTCTAGACAATGTATTTGTCAAAAGGCCTCTTTCAAGAGCTTTTAAGGAGAGGCTAGGGTATTCATTTGTTTAAGAGCTACCTCCATAGTCATTCTGAAAGATTGGGTTAGGGTTGATCTATAGGATTATATATTAATTCTGTGTTATCTCGTATATTGTTAAGTCCTTCCGGACAAAGAGTTTTGAAGCCCAAAATATATATGCCATTATGCTTCTCTGTGCAGATTAATTGAAACAGCACTTTATTTTCCTTTCTTTCGTTATACGGTTAGTTTTAGATCCACCGGGGTGACAGGGAGTAATCGATTGACATGTTTTCGGTATTTAGGTAATTTGCAGTGGTGTGCAGTTATATGAATCTATTTTTGCATCAGAATTTTATAAAGCCCAGACACTATTTTCTTGACTTTCGATTATTTGTCCTCCGGCCATTGTCTAGGATGGACGTTACTACAAGGAAGCATGCACTAGCAAGACTTACCTGTGAGCAAATCAAAGTACTATAGAGTTGCCCGGAAACTCTCCTGATTTAAATAGAGTCGAGAATCTGTGGTCAATCAGCAAGGAACGACTTCGTAGAATTGACATATGAAGTACAAACATGTGCTGTGGATCATGTTTCATTAAAAAAAAATATCAAAAAATTAAATAATATCGGAAGTATTCGTTATGTTTCAATTAATTTGCACAAGGATGTAGTATTTTCCTAA